CAAACAAACAAACAAAAAAACGTTTCATGCTTTTAGCTTCTCTATCTGTAAAATGGGGGTGTTATTACCTGAGACACAGGGTTGTTGTGAAGACTGAGTGAGTCCAAACTGATAAAGTTCCTCCAATGATCTGGGGAGATTCATACCAAAAGCATAGAGAGAGAGAGAGAGAGAGAGAGAGAGAGAATGGGAGAGCAACATACCAAGAGCTAATGGCTCAGAATTTTCTAGAAATAAACACAGATATGAATCCCCAGAGTCAGAAAGTACAAAAGATTATAATTTATTTTTAATTAATTTATTTTTTAAAAAAATATATTTTATTGATTTTTTACAGAGAGGAAGGGAGAGAGATAGAGAGTTAGAAACATCGATGAGAGAGAAACATCGATCAGCTGCCTCCTGCACATCTCCCACTGGGGATATGCCCGCAACCCAGGTACATGCCCTTGACCAGAATCGAACCTGGGACCCTTCAGTCCGCAGGCCGACGCTCTATCCACTGAGCCAAACCGGTTTCGGCTAATTTATTGATATTAGAGATAAAGGAAGAGAGAGATTGATTTGTTGTTCCACTTATTTATGCATTCATTGGTTGCTTCCTGTATGTACCCTGAGGGGGGATCACCCCCCACCCCTGCAACCTTGGTGTACTGGGACAACACAACACGCTAACCAACTGAGCTACCCGGCCAGGGCCTGCAAAAGACTGTAGAAAAGATGGACTGACTTATCAAACATCTGAGCTCATCACAACACCTGACACGCAGCAGGCCCCAGAGAAGTGCTGGCTCCTTTCTTCCCAGCCCACAGCAGTCCTTCCTTCCTCCCATCTCTGCAGCTGCCTCTATCCCCACCAGCTGCGCCCGCCCCGCCTGCACTCTCCCAGGCTTTTCCAAATTGCGCTCTGCAGTAATGATCATTTTTTAAATTGATTTCAGAGAGGAAGTAAGAGGTAGAGAGAGATAGAAACATCAATGATGAGAGAGAATCATTGATCGGCTGCCTCCTGCACACCCCTCACTGGGGATGTGCCCGCAACCCAGGCATGTGCCCTTGACCAGAATCGAACCTGGGACCCTTGAGTCCGCAGGCTGACGCTCTATCCACTGAGCCAAACTGGCTAGGGCAGTAATGATCATTTTTTAAGTCATCCCCAAAGCACACGGCAGACCTGGCAGCCTCTCCCCTGGACATGAGTCAGGTGCAGAGCGGCCTGGCCTGCCAATCTACTGGCCAGGGAGGGAAGAGTAAGGTCAGTCAGATCCCTCGGGGGTACAAGGACTCAGGGAAGCCCAGACAGGCACGAGACCTTTACAAAGAGAAAGGTATCTCTAATTCTGGGAGACAGAGGGTGGACAGAGAGGAGGGCCAGGCTCAGGAAAGGTGCAGAGTCCCCAGCATGAGGCGTGGAGAAGAGGGGAGGGGCTGGACGAAAGCAGTTCAATTCGAGCTGAGGGGCAGACCAGGGGCCAGGTGGAAAGAAGCCCACTTCTCAGGGGATCAAGAGGCCTGAAGCAGCGACAAGGGCTGGGATCCAAAGCTCAGGTTACGGGAGGAGCAGGCCTGGCTAGGAAGGCACACCCACTAGCACCGCGAACCATGGTGAGTAAGGTGAGAGCCGGCCTGTAACTGAGCTCTTCCCAGCCCAGCCTCTACAATGAGACACCTGTGGCTGCTCCCTCCCACCAGGCCTGTGCGGAGGGGAGCCCATTCCACCCCTGGGTCGGGGGCTTAGAGAAGGCGCTAGTCCTGTCACTCCTCTGCTAGGAAGTGTTTTACTTCCGTCCACATTCTGTAGAGGCAGGTGGTCCTTTCCTTAAAACCTATTCTTCTCTACTTTTAAGGGTAATATGCTCATCACAGAACAGTCACAAAATGCAGAGCTTTGTCTAACATACATGTGCAGCTTGTTTTATACCCTTCCGCTTTTTTCCCTATGTACATATCCACCTTTAACATAGTTGGCATCTTACTATGTAGAGTTTGAGATCCTTGCTTTTTTCTTCTTTTTCCTTTTCCAATTCACGTTATCCGTGAGAATTTGCCAGTCTTCATTCAAGCATACGACGAAATGTTATGCGCCACGGTTAATGGCAACATAAATGGCATTGTACAGCTGTAACTAAATTTATTTAAGCAGCGTTGTGGTGCTGGTTGTTTAGGCTGTTTCAGACTGTTTACTATTTTACATGAGAACTATATCCTGCACGACTTCAACACCCAGCATCTCCCACCCCGAATTAGGACCGCCTGTGGTCTGTCCAACATGGCTAGGCATGAAACCACGCGTCCCCTGCTGCTCTCTGACTGTCACCGAGGCAGTCTAGTCTCAGGCCCAGGACTCTATTGCAAATATACCTGCACGGCCCCCAGCACCCTGCACACAGCAAGTACTCAATACGTGCTGACTATGTAAGCCCCAGAGCCCTCAGACTGTACGGCCTGATGAGTTTCATTTGCCAAGGGTCAGGACTGCAGGTGCCCACAGTGGCCTCGTCTGATATTTTGCTTCTTCTCTTGGCACTGAAGAGGTAAAAAGGCCCCTATCATCCAGCCCTAACTTTAAAGACCCCATCACCTCCACCACACATGAAAGTCTCGAGCTCCGGCACAACCTCCAGCCAACCGCAATGACTTAGGGTTTAATCCCTTCCCCAAGTTGCCTATAGCTTCACTGTGCTCATGACCCTGGCAATCCCCAACCATCTGCCCCAACCGCAGAACAGCATGGTGGGGACAGGGCGCTGGCTCTGGGGCCAGACAGGCAGGGTTCCGATCCCAGGCAGTGGTCTGGCAGGACAGCCAGAGGCCTCGCTTGGGTTCCTCAGTGGGCATGGCCCTGGGCAGTGCAGAAGAGCTGGTCACAGCCCTCCCTACCCTGGTCACCCTGCACACTTCACCCGAGGCAGATGCCCAACCTTCAGTTCACAGAATTCCCCACCTGGCCTGCAGAGGCGCCTGAGTTTGCAATCTGAAATCTAGACTCAACGGGGCCTTCGAGGCTCTCCACCTGCGCGGTGCCATCCCTCATGCCAAAGAGACAGCTCCGCAGTGGCCTCTCCCCGGCGATGGTGCAGCCCTGCCTCTGCCTAGGGCGCCTGCCTCCTCACTGCTGCCTAAGGGAATCCTCTCTCAAACAGCACCTCCCCAGGAGGTCAGAATTCCGCTCTCCCCCCCTACTACCCCTCCACCTTGCCCCCTTCACACATCTGGATGAGACTGAGCTGCAGGTGTGTCCCTCCCCCTCATGACACTTTAAAATAGGGATAGGTCATTCACTGCAGAGATTTGTCGATTTGCACTGAGCTCCCCATTCAGAGGCAATGGGGGGTGACTTAGGCCTCTATCTTCAGCCCTTGGGGATGAAAAATAATAGCTGCCATTTATGGAGCTACCTACATGCCACGCACCTTACAGGCATTACAATTACTCCTAATCACCTTGATGAGGGAGACACAATTACACCCCCATTTTACAGATGAAGACACCAAGGCTCAGAGAGGGTAAGTAACTGCTAAGGTAGCAGGCTGGTAGATGGCAGAGTGGGGATTCGAATCCAGGCCTGAGTGACCCAGAGCCTGGCTCTCAACCACCACATTCGTGAGGAAGAGCCTTGAGTGCTGGGGTGAGTACAACCATATCAGTGACCAGCACCGGGTTCCAGAATTCCTCCACTCACCAGCTGAAGGCTCCCCCCAAAATCAGCGACAGTCTTCAAGTTTGTTTGCTGATAGAGGGAATGCTCCTCTTACCTTAGTTCAATTCAGCAAACACCTCCACGTGCTCACAAAGTGCCTGACACTGTGTTGGCTCTTGGGGGAGGGGGGTGCGGGGAGCGGGGGAGACCACAGGATCACTACCTGCTAGGGACACTGCATGGGTATTACAGAGGAGGAGGGAGCAAGGGGTGGACAGGGTAGGATTGAGGGCTTCCTGGAAGAGGTGATGACCAACCTCATCTTGAAGGCTGAGTATCCTTCCACTTCCTGGGCCACCACCCCCTGCCCCAGAAGCTTACATTCCACACACACTCTGACCAATAGCTGCTTGAATAAATGCTCTGCCTTTCCAGCCTTTGGCTCTTTGCTCAGGCTGTAGCCTGCATGGAAATGCTCCTTCATGAGACAGACACACACATACACAGACACACACCCCTACTTGCCTGAGAAAGTCCTCTCTGTGTCAAAGACCCAACTTAAATCCCAACCTGTCCACCTGCATGGCCACCCACAAGGCAGGACGGTGCGCCTCTCCTCAGGGTTCCCACAGCACACCCATGGCTCTAAGGTGCCACTTACATTCCAGTGAATGAGACACACACACACACACACACACACAATTGTGCTATATCTATCTCCCTTGCCGATCCTTGCACATGGCAAGACAGTCAATTCAGCGGATATTTACTTATGCTGTGATCAGTTCAAACCAAGAAATATATGACACAATTCAAGTAAAACAGTGGAGTGAACTGGGGACCTCGGCTGGGTGACCTAAGAAAGCCCCCTCTGCCTTTGACTCTTCGTCTCCTCCTCACCCGTCTCCTCCCCTCCCGGAGACCACAGCTAGGCATGCCTGGCCGGGATCATCCATCACAGGGAGGCTGTGAAAATCCAGTCAGGCAACACTCATGCACCAGCACGGGCCTGCGACATGGGGTGACACGGCAGTGCCAGATATGGCCACCTGGTCCCAGGGCACATACACTCAGTCATCTGCAGTCCAAGAGCAGGCAGACAGGCTCCTGGCGGGTGGAGCCCCTCACTCACTGTTTTTCAAATCTCTCTGACTCTGACCCATAGCAAGTCGTACGCTGGGACCCCGTATACGCACAAACTAAACACAACTGCTGGTAACGTTCCAAGAAACTGCTCCCCGTGACGAGGGGCACACACTGATGTTGCCTCTTTCCTCTTCTCTTTCTACTTCATTTCCAAACTGATTTCACAAACCACTTGCAGGGCGCCCTGTGGTTGGAACGCCATGCCCTCACTCACCCAGGGTGTCAGAGTCACTCTCCACCGTCTCGTTGACCTTCCTCGCAACTCTGGCCACCGCCTCACCCATCTTCCTCAGCATGCAGACTCGGGTGTCCTGCTGCCAGCCACCAGGCCGGTCTGCTGCTCACAAGGGGGCCTGCACCTGGGGAAGACACAGGGGCATGAGTCCCCTGCCCGCTGGCCAGGGACCTGGGCTGCTGGAAGACTGCAGGGAGAGCTCCAGGCCGCTCGCCTCCTCCTGAGGGGCCCAGAGCCCAGGCCACATCCAGCTTGGCCTTTAAAACAGCTGACCTGCCCATCAGAGGGTGGGGGCAGCCTGGTCCTACCAGTTTCCTGGGAGGATCGACACGTGTGACCACCCCAGACACAGGGCCAGAGCCTGAACCAGTGGCCAGGCTGGAGTGAGGACTCAGGTGTGCACTGGCCTGTGACTCACTTTAACAGGCGGGGCCTTAAGGAGGAGGCGGGGCACAGCCAACTGCAAGGAAGAGACACTTGTCCCTCCACCTCACAGCCTATGAGCTGGTGCCCTGTCCAAGACCCTCCAGAGCAACTCCTCCAGCTCTGTTTGCCCCGCCCACTTGTGCCAGACTCCTCCTATATGCCGGGGGGCGTGGGGACAAGAAGGCAAATAAAACACAGCCCGGCTTAGTCAGAACTCAGAGTCTGCAGGTGGGCAGGTCTCTAAGAATTCCCTCTCCAAGGACCAGCATGGAATACCCATGTGGCCTGCAGACCTGGTTATCAGCCTGATGTTGAATTTATCTGCAAGACCCCAAGGGTGGGGTAGGGAAACGAGAGAAAGGAAATTGGATCACTAGAGAGAAGAGGCTTAAAGAAGGGTGAAGATGAAAATTATAATAAAAATTACAAGGTGTTAAAGACATAAGGAACACTAAAAATTACAGAGAAGGAAACAGAGGCATAAAGAGGGACCAAATGACCTGGCCAAGGTCCAAGTGACTAAGTGGCAATAATCAGCTCAGCCCGGCTCACATTCAGTGCTCACTTCTTTACAAGTCACCCACGTCACCAGCGGCAGCACCCCACCTAGGATGAACCTGAGGCCAAGGGCAATGCCCTCCTTTGTCCCCAGAGCCGAATTTCAGCTTTGCCCATAGCTCAAGGAGCTCTAACATACTCAATCTGAGGGTCAAAGGCAGAAGAATGGAAAGGGCAGAGAAAAGGGGGGCGAGGGTAGACCTCAGACCTCCTAACAAACCAATAAAAAGTCCCTATGTGCTCAGCTGGACAGGCAGGGCAGCCAGGGCCAAGCTGGGGGTTGGCCAAGCCCACCCATGTGCTTAGGGGAGAGTTAGTGGTGAGTTCAGTACGTATATGCATCTCACCAAGGAGGCAGACACTGAAGGGATGAAACACATGGTGCAGTGGGAAAAGGCTTTTTGAAGACAGCCCTAATGCCTAACTGTTATTTATTAGTTGAGAAGTCTTGGGGAAGTGTCTTAAACTACTCTGAGCCCAGTTTCTTCATCTGAAGAAATCTAGTAATAACCTCACTGGGTTAATACAAAGATTGAACAACAACAACTACACACACACACACACACACACTAGTGACCCAGTGCACGAAATTCAGGCAGGGGGGGTGTGTGTCCCTCAGCCCAGTCTGCACCCTCTCCAATCTGTGATCCCTGTGGGATTGGGCCTAAACCGGCAGTTTGACATCCCTCTCACAATACGGGACCACTGGCTCCTAACCACTCACCTGCCAGCCTGCCTGATTACCCCTAACCACTTCTGCCTGCCAGCCTGATCACCCCCTAACTGCTCCCCTGACGGCCTGATTGCCCCCAACTGCCCTCCCCTGCTGGCCTTATCGCCCCAAAGCTTTTATTAGAGTGTGTGTGTGTGTGTGTGTGTGTGTGTGTGTGTGTGTACAGCCCAGAGCCCAGCACACATAGTTACCCAATAAATGTTAATTGAGAGGATAAGACAATACACAGGCAGACATGATGTCAGCATCTAATCCCAGTTACATACCCATGTGACTTTGAACAAACAACTCAGTGGAACTCATCTTTAAGGAATGAGTAGAATTTCCATCTCTCCACCTCCAGGAAGTGTTCCCTGATTGCCCCAGCCCTCAGTGTTCTCTCCTTCTGAGTTTCAGAAGCACTTAATGCCCCAGCACAAGCCAGTTGGGTTGTTATCAGGCAGCTTAGGGCAGAAGCAAAACTATACTGTGCTTTTGCCTGCACTTTACACCACATACTAAAAACATATGCCCATCTAGTATCCCCCAACGGTAATGATGATGATCAACAACTATCATTTGAATTTAAATACAACCGACTCTTATAATAAATCTAAGACACTATCTAATTGAGAAGGGTCATACATTCAAATGCCTAGCAGTGCCAGATGGGTACCTTGCACCAGGTGAGCCTGGTAGGACAGTAGGGAATAGTGATGTCTATTGCAAACTAGACCCGACACCTTCGCCAGGCTACCTTTAAGGCCATCCCCCTAACCCTGAGTCACACTGGAGGACCCAAAAAGGTTGGTGAATCAGATAGATCAGGGGTCGGCAAACTGCGGCTCGCGAGCCACATGCGGCTCTTTGGCCCTTGACTGTGGCTCTTCCACAAAATACCGGCTCTTCCACAAAATACCGACTTCTGGGCATGGGCCACGAAGTTTCAATCGCACTGTATGTGCACACCCGCACGTGGTATTTTGTGGAAGAGCCACACTCAAGGGGCCAAAGAGCCGCATGTGGCTCGTGAGTCGCAGTATGCCGACCACGGAGATAGATGAAAACAAAAAACCTGGGTCTTCTAACTCCTAAACCAGGTCTTCCTCCAATACCATGCGCCCTCCCCCCCATCTCTAATATTTATCACCAATAATCACAAACATGTACGGAGCACCTACTGGGTACTGGGTGTAAAGTGAAGAGGAAATGCAGGAAATAGCTCTGAATTGTGATTCTGATAAGGAAGAGCTTTCTAAGAAACATCAGAGGCAATCCTGGCTTCTCAGCAGAGGGGAAAGAAAAGGAAATCTCCAATCTGCCCAGGGTCTGTGTTAACCTTACTGGGATCCTCTAGGCCAGCGTTCACCAACCTTTCAGACCTCATGGACCACTGGTTGGTGACGGCTGCTCTAGGCTGATTACTTTGACAACATGCCTGCAATTCTTATAGCTGCCACCAGGTAGGAGAGGGCGGTGGTGCCTTAGGCCATAGAACAATCCCTTGATGAAAACCAATCAGATTAAAAACCTCACCCCTGCTGGCAGGCTTAGACATACTGAAAACAGATGTCTCAGACCCTTTAGTATGGGTCAGAGAATGGACCTCGAAGCAGGAACAGGAGCAACCTGTAAGTCAGTGAGTCAGAGCAAGTCATAGGAGGAGGGGCCCCTTACATTCCGGAGGATGCTCTGGGTACAGCAGATGTGCCCTAGCCCCCCAAGAGGTTCCTGTTGCCTCAAATCATCAACCTTGCTAACTGGCTAGGAAAGCACCCTCCCTTCACCTAAAACTACCCCACCCTCCAAGGGAGAATTCCTTCCTTCATAAAGTTCAGCTGACAATCTCTCTCCCAGGTCAGATGACAAAGGTCTGTCCCTCTTTGGCACAGGCAAGGCTGTGAGATGGGAGGGTGGCAGGGCCACATGAGTATAAGACCCAAGATGGAGTACGAGGGCTCCAAAATGAGGGTAGAATAAACTTGGGATGACAGTAGTCTAGAGTGTGTCCCCTAAAGGGCTCCTACAAGGTTGTCCAACTTCCTTGACTACTCCTTTCAGCCCCAAACCTAACACCAAAAAAATAATAAAATAATAACATTATTACTTATTTAGCATGTAACAGGAGCTCAGAGACAAAGGAGGCTTGGGGAGGAACAAATAAAGCTGCTCCTCCTCTTTTGTTTTAAACTGTTACGCACTTCTCACACAAGGCCTTACCAATAGGTATTAAACAGGTACAGTGCGTTAGGATATAAGAACTGAATGCCGGAAAAAATAGGTGCCCTGCTCTATGAGAACTGGCAACACAGCCCTCCTGTACCTAGAACCGCATTTCACCTGGATAGGAAGCTGGGAGAGGGCTGATTTTTGCTCGACCTGACTGACAGTAGCCCCCTGCCACAGCTCCCGCCCCCACCAGTGAGAACGCTACCTTATCTGGAGCCCCAAGATCTGAGCAAAGAGCTGCTGCGACACCCCGTCCACACCAGCTGCTCCTATATTTAGTTACTGGTGTGGTCACCAGGGAACTTTAGAGCCTGGCGCCGATCGGAAGGGCAACCCGAGCCTCCTGCACCACGTGTGCAAGCTCCCCCACCGCTGGCTCCAGCGGGCCTCCGGGACCACGCCAATGGGGGAGCCGATGCGGAGGGGAGAGCCGGCGGGCTGGATCGGACCCAAGTAGCCTAGAAGGCCCACTCGAGGCCAGGACAGAGTTGACCCAGTTTTGCACCCAAGGGAAGGGAGCCCGCTGGGGCGTGAGCAGGCCGGGTTGGCGCCTTGTTTTTGAGCCACGGGGTTCGCAGGGTCCGCGCGTACTTCCTTCCCTATAGGCATCTAAGCATCCTTGGGCGTGCCTCCCAGGACTGAGCGAGACGGCCAGGCCAGGGTCCCCGCGTCTGGCGAAGGGGGCCCGCCCGTCTACCCCACCCCCCGGCGCCCGCAGCCAATGGCTCCTCGTGGCCGGCCCTCAGCTCTCCCGGCAGGCGGGGACTAGGGAGAATAAAGCCGGCAGAACAGAAAACGTGGCGACCGCAGAGGGCTGGGGGCTCCCGCGCCTTCCGGGGGCCCAGTGGCGCGCTCTGCGCTGCCCGTCTGCAGCTCCCAGAGCGGAAGCAAACCCCGAAGCTGTCACTTCAGGGACGAAGTACACGACAGCTTCTCCCAGCAGGGCCGCCTCCCGCGGGGAATGGAGGCCCGCCCGGGCCGCTTCCCCGAGCTCCCCCTGCCCGGGCACCGCTGCGCCCTCTCTCCCGAGCCAGCCCCAGGCCAGCCGCAGCCTGCGATCCCGGGCCGGCGTGGCGCCGGGCCCCCGGCGTTGCAGAAGCCGCGGCGGGCGCACCGCTGCTCTTGGCCTCGGGTGACCTGGGGGAGGGGAGGGGACGCTGCAGAAACGGGGACACTTCTCTCCCTCTCTCCCCCAGCCC